GTTGTGTTGTGTTGCATTGCGTTACATTACATTACATTCTCCATTTGGTGCCCAAGCAGATCATTATTGTCCTGATTGTTTGCGGGGAATGCTGCAGGTGATACAGGTCGGACAAAGGTTGGCAGCATAATCTACAGTTCTCTTATTTCATTAGAAAGAAAGCCTCAATTGCCCAAAAGCAAGATGGAAGGTGATCCACATCTAGGGTTGCATGTGGTTATGTAGATGGAGCCGGTCTGACAGGTTATGACCATGGCATACAGAAGATCATAAGGGTTTACAGATGTAAATTAATGAATGAAATGAAAGAAAAACAGATATATTGTGTGTCTGTGAAACAAAGGAGAGGATGCAACAGTTTTCAAGGGTGGCCTGTTTTTGTGGAGTGGGTTTATGAAGACATGCAGGGAAGTAAACGTGTAGGTTTCATCATCAATGAAAGGACTAAATTTTTGTCAGAAAGTATGAATTAGTATCATCTAACTGTTATAACTGTGTATGAAAGTAGGAATCCATACATTGGTGGTAAGTGCATGTTAAACTCCAGTGCTTATGGTAACAGAAAAAACAGGGTTGAGTATTGGAACAAATGTGCAACACTTTGAATTAACGTGATCCAGTGGAATGCAAGAATGAGTGAATGATGACTGGTGAGTTACTTGCTTAAAAAAAGGTTTGCTTGTTTTACATATGTGGTTTAAGCATAAGCCTACTCATACATACACAGGGGGGAACAATTATTATAAATTAATTGAGAACAATTAATATAAATCTAAAAGCATGATGGATTTGATTATTTATGATACATAATTGAGAGAATTAGTGAAGGATTCTATAAAACGTTCTGACAATGGGATAAACATTTTTTAGTAACATCAAGAATGAATCTTGGGGAAAAAATGGAATGGAAAAGAAAGGAAAGAAGTGAAAGAAACTGGAGTAAAAGTAGAATGACTGCAGAAAAAAATGCAAAATAAAATATTAAAGATATTGTAAGATTGATTAATCTCCCAACAGAATGAATGGAAAGTGGACCAAGAAAGAAGGTGAGGGAGTTGTTTGGAACAGAATGAAAAGAACCATGTTACCCAGTGCCTTAGAAATCATGGAGTTACATTAATAGCAAGTATAAAAAGGATGCTTGGTGGAATGGTGAAACGGAAGAAACAGTGGATAAGAAAACATGCATATGACCAAATGCTAAAAAAAAAAACAACAACCAAGGGGAGAAAGATATTGTGTTGTGTGTGTACATATAAAGCAAAAGAGAGCAAAAAGCAGTTAAGTTTAAAGCAGGCAGTAGGAAAGCACAGCAAATTTGATGGAAAGAACACAACAAAACAACAGGCAATAAGGGAAGAGACTTAAACAAAGAGCTGCCAGGCAGAGTGAATGGAATTAAAATTCAAACCGACAAAATGACTGGGGATGAAACTGAAGTGAGGGAATCCTGGAAAGACTACTTTAGAGATTTCTATGGAAATTATAGTGACATCATCAGGAATGAAATTGAAACCAAGTCTAGTAATGTCAGAAGAAGTAATAAATACTATGAGCATGGTGCGTCAGTTGCAGCTGTATCTCAACCAGGAAGCTTTGCTCTCAATCACCCACGCCCTTATGACCTTGCTGCTGGACTACTGCAATTTGCTTTACACAGGGCTGCCCTAGAAGACCGTTTGGAAGGTTCAGCTGGTTCACCATGCAGTGCCCTGAGTAGCTACGGGAGTACATATAGGTTCTTTAGCTTATTAATTCTTACTCCCTTTCTGTGCTTTGCATAATGCTGCTTATCTTGAAAGGAAATAATGTGATGAGTATGGATATATAAAATGTCTACAGCCTATAATAAAAGTAAATTCTCCTCACGCTTCTAGCTATGAGCATTATTATGTGCTTTTTCTGTAAACCTTTTCACGAGTGTGCTTAATCCTGATTCTGTATAAAAGGGAAGATCATCTTATTTGAATACCTGTCGAGGATGCCCTTCATGGCCTGGCTGGCTGTAAATGGCCTTCAGGGGTCTTAGAATCTCTGTGCCTCCCAAGTCACAATCCAGCTTCTTCACACGTTGGATAGCAGTGTTCATGGTCTCCTGGGTGTACTCCACACTCTGCCTGCAGAGAGTTCTAGAGGGTAAAGGCTATCCCCAAGCTCAGCCAAGTTCCCCTAAACAGCGTTTTATATATTGCCCATATACACAACAATCATCCATTTCTTCTTCGCCATCTCACAGTATTTATAGCCCTAGAACTCAATGCTGAGGACACAAGGGGGACATGATGACCACCAAGAAGCCCAAAGAGGACAACACAACACCTCATGATCTGGGGTCCGATATGAGATCTCAAGGTCACATACAGGCTCCCAAAAGCTTTGGTTTAACTCCCAGAACCTTCCAACCCTTTCCACCCAATTATATTTTTCAATGCAATATGTAGGGAAAATTACAAACTGCATTTAATTGATGTAAGCTTCCTTAGGTTTCAATTAAATTTGGTTCCTGTCATGGTCAGACCAATTTCTTTGGGCTGACATCTTTTTAACTTTGTATCATTTTTAAAAACAAACTAAGCATTTGATTCTTTCCAGTGATACTTCACAGAAATAGGGAGGGGCTGGTAAAGCTGAGAAATAAAAGGTCTGACAAGAGACAACTTCTAATACTTACGGGTAGAATGAGTCATAAGTAGAGCCAAAGCCATAGATGTTGAAGTAACATCCCAGAGGGAGACTCTTTAGCAAGAAAATCAGGGTCTCCTGACATGGAGGGGGAGGTAGATAAACATCCAGAGTCAGTTTCCATGTATATTAAAGTATCATCTCTACTTTTCTTTACTTCTCCTTTTATAAAATCTGTTGTGTGTGGATACAGGATTGGGAGTCTTAGATTTCAATTCTCATCCCTAAGCCTCATTCTGTGACTTGTTTAGTCACTGAGTCTGATCTACTTCCCAGGGTCGTTGTAAAGAATGGACCATGGACATCATGTTGAGCAGCTTGGAAGGCTTGAGGAAAATCCAAAGCATTCAGTAAAACACTACACTCATCTTATAATTGTAGTAGACTACAGATCTCTATTGCAACCCCTCTATCCATCCACCCATAAGGTACCTTGGCACTCTGAATGCGTGATGGTGAAGGAGTGCTGGTAATCCACGATGGAATCCATGCTGCCAGAGCGATCCAGCAGGAAGATGAACTCTCCAGCAACACTCTGACCTGGCTTGACAGCTGGAATGTTGGGGTACAGGGTTAGCAGAAGGGCAGGGTCCCCCATCAGCGATCCTGTATTTTGCAGGAAGAAATGAGATCGATAAGCATTTTCACTCAAGGCAGGGCCCTTCCAATTCCAAGGAACCTTCTACTTCAGCCACAGGATAACCTTATGCCAAAGATGAGGAACTGGTGTTCCTCCAGATGTTGCTGAGTGACATCTCTCAGCATCCTTCACTGATAGGCATGCTAACAGGGATTGCTGAGAGCTGTAGTGGAGAGGCACAGATTCCCCACCTCTGCCTTCAGCTTTGCTCACCTGGAGCAGCCCCAGACTTCCCAGCCTCTAAAATGGCACTGGTCTTGTGAACGTCTTCATAATATATCAGCAGTTCCACGTCACGGTCAAATTGGTGCCCTTTAGCCAAGGAAACCTTTGGGAAGATAAGCAAAACCAAAGTGCTCGCAGGTTGCAGTCCTAACACTGCTGTACACTCTAGGCCAGGAATTCTCAAACTAAATGCCACAGAAGAATGATTAGGTTATAAGCAGGAATTGCTGAGTTTCTAAGCTAAGGAGGCTGCTCAAGCCTTTGTCATGTAAAGGCTGCCTTGCCTTGTTCCTTACATCTTCCGTTAAGAGAGGATCCCTTTTAAGCCTGATAGGAGCACTGACAGGAACAGGTCACCCAGATACCTAGCCAAACTCCCACTCTAAGAGGAGTTCCAGAAGACGGGTTCAGCCCTGTAAGCTCATGTATTCTTCTTGAGAAAGGCCATGTACGAAACCTGGTATTCTCCCACTTGGGTAAGCCATGCTTTCTGGGAACGATGGGACTGGTAGTGCAACAGTCTGAAGGCTACCAGGTTGGGGAACAGGGAACTGGTAATCTCTTGGCCAGCACAGTCAGCCCCTGGATCCCCCAATATTAGAGCACTGAGATATGAAAGGAAATGGCAGAATCATTCAGTAGGAGATGAAAAAGAGACAGGCGCATTTACAGTGGGGCAAAAAAGTATTTAGTCAGCCACCAATTGTGCAAGTTCTCCCACTTAAAACAGGGGGACACGTCTGGCACTGCAGGATTTGAGTCCCTGGCGGCATAGTGTGTTACTGATGGTAGCCTTTGTTACTTTGGTCCCAGCTTAGGTATACCTCAACTATGAGAGACAAAATGAGAAAAAAAATCCAGAAAATCACATTGTCTGATTTTTAAAGAATTTATTTGCAAATCATGGTGGAAAATAAGTATTTGGCAGGGGGACACGTCTGGCACTGCAGGATTTGAGTCCCTGGCGGCATAGTGTGTTACTGATGGTAGCCTTTGTTACTTTGGTCCCAGCTTAGGTATACCTCAACTATGAGAGACAAAATGAGAAAAAAAATCCAGAAAATCACATTGTCTGATTTTTAAAGAATTTATTTGCAAATCATGGTGGAAAATAAGTATTTGGCAGGGGGACACGTCTGGCACTGCAGGATTTGAGTCCCTGGCGGCATAGTGTGTTACTGATGGTAGCCTTTGTTACTTTGGTCCCAGCTTAGGTATACCTCAACTATGAGAGACAAAATGAGAAAAAAAATCCAGAAAATCACATTGTCTGATTTTTAAAGAATTTATTTGCAAATCATGGTGGAAAATAAGTATTTGGCAGGGGGACACGTCTGGCACTGCAGGATTTGAGTCCCTGGCGGCATAGTGTGTTACTGATGGTAGCCTTTGTTACTTTGGTCCCAGCTTAGGTATACCTCAACTATGAGAGACAAAATGAGAAAAAAAATCCAGAAAATCACATTGTCTGATTTTTAAAGAATTTATTTGCAAATCATGGTGGAAAATAAGTATTTGGTAAGTGGGAGAACTTGCACAATTGGTGGCTGACTAAATACTTTTTTGCCCCACTGTAGATTCTGATAGACTTAATGCAGTTCCATCTCTATCCCTATCTCAATACAACCTCCCGAATTCACTGACTCTGGTGATGCCATTTACATCACTGTCTAGCCTGCTATGACCCTTATATGCTGAAAAATAAACCTGAAAGTCCAAATCCAGGTTGTAGAAAAGTTGCTTACTCCTGGCTTAACGATGCAGAGTGGCACTAAGAGGTTTTTGGAAAAATATCCTCTTTCCCTCTAGCTCATGCCCTGTAATATAGTCCAACTCCCCAGCTTATAATCCCCAGGATTCTCCCTTCCTCCCTTTTGTTGCTTTCTGGCAGCAAGTCAACACCATTTTTTTATCTTATGGAGGATTGTTGGCATTTTGCAGACCATCACTGCAGTCATGCCATAGATCCAAATATTGGCAGAGCACCTCTTAGCCCAATATGGGAATAAAGACTATTTGGGAAACCAGGTAGCTCTACTTTGCAGCAGACCAACATTTTCAGCAGTTCTAAAAGGAACTGTATCTGGCAACCCCTGTGCATTTAGAGCCCTCTAGTGGGGCAGCGACACCACTGCTTTTCAGCATCAGTCTTCATCCCGCATCCTATTTCTGTTTTTTATCCTAAAAGTCAGTTCTGGGAACCCAAATGGTGTGAACAACCCTGTATCTCATTTGGCTGTTAGGTCCATACACACTATTGATGCGGAGGGCAAGGTGTGCAGGGGCTGGAAAAACAACAATTTTTTTTAGAAGTTTCTTCCAATCCAAATCCTCAGGTCCTGAGCAGCCCTACCTGGGCAGTGGTCCAGTCCTCTGTCAAATGTTGCAGAAGACTGCATTTTGAGTCCACGCAGTTGATGCCATAGGGGGACTCCACCCTGGCGCTGAGGCTGAGCGTGTAGGGCAGAGCTCCTGTGGGCACTTGTGGCATCTGCTGGGAAACAGTGCCCCCTTCTGAGCCTGCAAAGAGAAAACACATGCACGGCTCTGCGCACAGAAAGTGGGGAGGCTCCTGTGAGGATTCCCAGAGGGTAGCAGGACACCAATCAAATCAGGAAAGGGGCACGGTGGTGCTGCGATTAGCGCGCTGGACCAAGACAGACCAGGTTCAGAGCCCCATACGGCCACAATCCTTGCTCTGATTTTGGATCCTGCCAGATGCTTTGCTTGGACTCCAAAGCTACGCAGGGATAGCCATGGTTACTACTTGGCTATCGCTGAAGAAAGCAATGGTAAACCACTCCTGCCAAGAGAAGTGCAGGAGGGGGTCCATGAACTCACAAAGAATCCTGCTCAAATTGAAGGGGATGTTATCTTATCCCAATCTCTCAGCCTGCAAACTTAACCTACTTCATTAAGATGGTGTGAGAAGAAAATGGGAAGGGCAGTCTCTATCAGCTTTTTTTTTTTTTAATTTGGAAAGGAAAATAATGGGATGTTATGGCTGAAAGTCCCTCACTTTGAGTTCTTTGTGCCTTCTGATACTTGTCTGGAGGGCACCATCTTGCAAAAGTCTGCTTTAATAACTGCACACGATTTTAAGCTCTATCCCATTAAC